ACTTTTCGCCCTCCACCTGTAATGCCGAACCACGAGGTTGGAGCCGAACTCGAACGCAAAATGCCAATTTTGGCTTGGCTATAGCCATTCCTGAACGCAGCCCAGGGCATTTTAATTGAAATAAACAGTAATTACCGTAATTACATAGTCATTAGTTACTGGAATCAAGCCATAAAATTGCATATAATACTACCACCCTATCATAAGTTAAGTTAGGGCATCTTCCACCTCTTCAGGAAGATCTACGACTATTGGTTTATAAGATCATCCATCCAAGGCTTCAAAATAATTTTCCGTCTCATTCCAACGCGTTGGAAGCCCATCTAACACAATCATTATTTATCAGTATCCAAATCCTCGTCAAATAATAGGTGGTCCATCTCCATATTCCTTATTTGATTTCTCCCTGCTCACCCTCGCCACACACTATTTTTCCAGTAATTTTTTGGGGACAAAAATGTTTTTTTCTACAAACGTGTTAAAAATGCAATTTTTAACACCGCCCCGAAGCATTAAAAATGTTACTTTATCGCACTAGTGCCATAAAGTCTTTATAGCACTAGTGTTAAAAGTGAAACATCAAAATTTGAGAGCGGACGTCAAAAAAAGTTTGTATTTTCAGTTATTTACATTGATAATAATGGTGAAATTTGAACAACTGAGGTAGCCCGATTGGCCGCCTCATCTATATTTTTCGAAGGATCGATGCACCTCTCTTTTTCTTCTGTATTTTGTTGCATTTTTAGCAAAAAGCATTCCTGACCACGACATACTTTCAAGAAACTGACAAGACATTTCGTTACCTGTAAAACAAGGTGCTGGTTGTATGGATTTTTTGACAAATGTCAAATTCAAGAATTTTATGTAGGAAAGATGCTTCCAATTTATTATTCATTTAAAAATCCAATTTGTTAGTGGTTATTGCTTTTTATTGCCGTTTGTAGAAAAAATATTGTATGATATTTGTGTTAAAAGTATTTTTAAGGCACTTATGTGATTTGCAGAATTCGCTTCGCTCATTCTGCAAACTTTCACATGCGTGCCTTAAAAATGTACTTTTAACACTTATATCATAAATAACTATTAAAATGTAAAAACAAAACAAAACATTCTAACCTCATTTCATTATAGCCGATAGCCGCGGTTATCCTAAATTCCAGGCCATCGAGCGATTTAAGTTAATTGCCGATTAGGCGAAAAAAACGCTTGGTGCATACGAAAAATATTATGTGATCACGGCTACGGCTAAAGTTTAATCAGAGAATTTGTGTAATGGTGCATACCAGGCAAATGCAAAATCCTTTGGTACATCTACTTTTTTAACCGTGATTACATAATTAGCCCTGATTAGCTAATTACGAAAATACCTGAAAATGGTGCATACAGGCATAAAGCCGCTTTCCAGCTGACGCTTTTGAGCACGCAATCGAGCTTTTGCGCGCGCAAATGCTTCAAGCGCGAATTCGTGTTCCAGCCTTACTGCGCTTCGACAGCTGGAATTTTCGCGTTTCGAACATAGAACACTGTGCTGCACCGTGTTTGAAGCACAAACACAAAGCTCACAGCTGGAAAGCGGCTATATTCGCATGTCTGGTGCCGTGCCTGAAAAACCGGTCTATACGGAACACGGTCCACGGAACGCAGTTCCTGGAACTAGTTGTCAATTAGGCAATCTCAATCACGTGATTTTATTATGGCCGTTCAGGTCAAATATTGCGGTGACAAGCCGGTGACGTTTATAAGGAGAGCATTTGTGTTGGGGCCCTTGTTGCTTTCGAAGTGAATTTTATGTATTTCTACGTATTTTCCATTGGTTTTGGTCATATTGTTGTTTTCATAGTGAATTTTATAGTTTTTAGTATGTCTACGTATTTTTTAGTGTTCTGGCCCTTGTTTACAAAGTGAATTTTATAGTGTTTATAATGTTTTTACGTATTTTTTTAGTTTAATAATAAATTCTGAGATGGAGAGTGAATATCTTGAGGTAATATTAGGGGAAAATCGAGCCACCTTTCTTTTAATTGCAGCAATCCATAAAGCCCTGCGTTGTTTTGATAATTCACTTTTGTAAATCAAAAGCCGATGATTTAAAATAGCAGGAACTGAATAAAATTTCACATTAGCCCTGTTACCTCAACTTCCACACCCAATTACGATGCAAATCGCTGGCATTTCAATTAACACAATACCTAAACACACAAAAAAACAGAAAATCCGATAAATCACATCTTGACGTTTGTCCAGAATGTGACAGAATCAATGACATATAGAATAAACAACACAATAACTCTTTTCACTTGGCTCCGGTTTAACAAACCGCAACATACCGCTCAAATTCAAGTGGTAGGTATCCACACGTCAGTTTGTAACCGGGTTAGAAAACGGTATGTCATTTCTCTAACCGTTTTGTAACCCGGTTAGTTAAACCGGAGCCACGTGAAAAGAACTAATGCTTGACCCAATGCTTGACCTAATGACCCGAACTTCCATATTGAATTTCGATTTTGACAGGTCAGTAGATTGCCTAATAGCCGCTTTGGAAAGCGGCTATTATTAGCCACTTTCCAGCTGACCATTTTCAGCACGCAATCGAGCTTTTGCGCGCGCAAATGCTTCAAGCGCGTGTTTGTGTTCCAGCTGTAGGCGCGTTCGTTTATTCCCTCGAAGTGCGGAGCGTGTGGAGCTTGAGCTACCTTGGACAGAGGTCAGCTGATCATCGAGCAAACCGAGCTTGATAATCTTGAAATAAAAAACGAACGGGTTTGTGCATCTCGAACCATACAACAGCTGCGCTCTGTGCGCACCATACGCTCGAAATTGTGAATGACGTTCGTTTATTCTCTTTCGAGCGTGTCGAGAAAAACTTTTCGCGTTCGTAAATACGTCGAGAGAGTGTATCGAGCTCGCTCGATTCGCTCCGAAATTTTTGATGGTGTGGAGTGTGCAGCGGGCGCCAATTTAAAAAAATTCTAAACCTACTTAAGCTAGTAAAAGTAAAATTGATTTCCTTCGTGCGTGCGGAAAACGCGTTTTCACGCACCGATTTGCGTGAAAGTACCACTTTTCCGCACAGCGTGCATGAGAATAAATTTACCGCACGAAAACCTTTTCACGCACGCTGTGAGCAAAAAAAGTTTCTCACGCACTGTTTTTTTTTCTCAATTTTTCTCTCCGTCATGTTTCAATTTCTCAAAAATTCTAGATTTTTTCGAAAATCCTCCATCTTTTTTTCCCTTAAGAAAGCTATATTAACTTTTTATACTGACCAATAATATCGACATCTTTAACGAGTTTTATACCATAAATAATTAATTCTACTCATAGGTAATAAAAATAATTGTTAATATTATGTTATTATAAACTTATTGCTTAAACTTAATTAAAAATCACATTTTTGACCATTTCCTTTATCAGTAGAGCAAAACACAAACAATTTCCGCACGCTCGTAGGAAAAATGTTGTACCTATCATGAGCGTAAAGTATTTTCCGCACTTACGGACGGTTTGCACGAACTCCGCTGGTGCGTCCCGTTGCGTGTGGAAAAGTATAACTACCCACTTATCCACACTTGTTAGGTGAATATAACTATTTTGTTTTTGTTAGTTTAAAGTTGTTCAGTTTTTGTGAGTGTATGACGCAACCGAATTTTCGTGACGAATGTAGTTCATTAGTTTAAACTTTGGATTACAAGATCCACCAGAGATCTGGGTTTTGTGGCAGGATTTAACTTGTTAGATCATAAAAAATTCCAAGGGTGATGGCAATATTACTGAACTATTACTTAATGATAATTGTTTTGTAGCAGGATTAACTTGTTAGATCAAAAAAAATTCCAAGGGTAATGGCAATATTACTGAACCATTACTTAAATTGCCTAACATGTACATTCTTGAGAAGTCTAGCCTTGAATTTTGTGAAATAAGTAACCTTGCCCCAATCTGTAAAATCAGATCTTCTCCTATGTAACGGTTCTGAAAACTTTTGGTTCAATTTTTATGACATGAAAAACGCTGCAAATGATCGGTGTTGTTCGTTTCTTTTCTTTCAATGTAATGAACTGAACTAGCGTCGTCCGGTAAAAATCTACTGACAATCTGAACCGCTGGGTAAATTTTACCCAAAGCAATCTGAACGGTCAGAACGCGCTCGGGCGACACCCGACGTTCAATCTGTCTGAACGCAGCCATGAATTTGCCACAAAGCAGCGCTTGTGCTGAGAGGATATTCTCAAGCCTACTTAAATAATATATAAACCAAAAATAGAAATAGGATAATTCTTATACCCTCAACAACAAATTCTTAATAATTGTTAGGTAAAGAGGTACCAACGTCACCAAAAGTAACGACAGCATCATATTAGCTCTCGTACTATTATATGATTTTTAGGGTCAAATATTCGTCAAACTATGCTGTTTTCAGACCCCACTTTTTCTGTTTTTTTTTTCTTGTGGGCCCCACAATTCATTTCTTTAATCTTCAGCAAAAAAAAACAGAAAAATAGTTTATTATTTTTGGCAGATTTATTTACAAATAAATGATGTTAGAGGTTATGAAATACGGAGCGAAATGAGCGAGCTCGATACGCTCTCGACGTATTTACGAACGCGAAAATTTTGCTCGAAACGCTCGAAATAGAATAAACGAACGGAATTTAGCAATTTCGAGCGCACGGTGCGCACAGATCGAATAAACGAACGCGCCTTGTACTGCGCTTCGAGAGCTGCTAACTTTTGCGTTTCAAACACAGAACACTGTGTTTGAACTTGAAGCATACAGCTGGAAAGCGGCGGATTGTCACCGAGGCAACCGGCGGCGATTCTGCGATTGGAAAAGCATTCCGCGTTCCATATGAAACCGAAATCGGCAACCACTGTCAACCGACGTTTTACCGACCGGTCATCGGCCGGTTGACGGTTAACCAGAGTTGGAAACGGAACCCACCCATTGTTTTTTTTTGACATTCGAAAAACATAACCCTATCAATCAAAAAAGAAAAACGGTTTGTTCCTTCGTTTGTTGTGAGTGAACTTCTGATGCTAAAAATATCCAAACATTCAATACAGTTTTATATCATTTGCGTTCTGCGATTTTGCAAATGATGGTAATAATAGATTTGATTTGATGGTTCAGGTACTCCTTCATAATGGAAGAGCACGAGGACCATAGTTCTGAAGAGATCCTCCAGGAAAAGGTAAGTTTTCGCTTGCTATAGAAAATCTCCTGACCTTGGGTGCACATTTTGCTGGAAAACAATGAAGGCATATCGAAAAGCTTATAATTTTGATGGTACCTAGCGCTTATAAAAATGCCGGTAATCCCTCACTAGTGTCCAAACTTAAAACAGATAATCACTTAACTAGATCACAGCAATTAGGGTTGCCACCTTTTGATTTCCGAAAACCCGTACATAATCGAAGTTAACTTTTTTTTGTAGCATAATTTACACTCATATCTCTGTAAAATGAATTTCTAGAAAAAAATTAAAAAAAGGTACCTACTCAATTTTAAACGCCACCCCTCGTAGTTACGGTCTATTCTGAAATTAAAAAAAAAAAAAACAGAGACACTTGTAGCACAGTTTCTTGTAGTAAGTGAACAGGGAGAACGACACAGTACATACATAATTATTTGTTTTATAAGGCAGAAAAGCACAATATTTAATGCCGCGGCTGGTGTTCCATAGCCTAAGGCGAAGCTAGGAAATCAGCCATGGCATTAAATCTGATCTTTTGCCGTGTGAAACATATAATTTTTCTCCGAATTTGTTACAATTTCACGCATAATCCACTTTTTTATATTATAAATTGCGCTCATGCTGATAGTGATTGTTCAATGGGTAGCAACGAACTTTTCTGCCTTGGCAGAAAAAGTCCACTTTTCCGTCGCTAACTGGAAATCGGAGACGTTCGTGACACACCCGTCATTCAAGAAGTAGGTACATTCAGAAATTAGTTAGGTATATCCTAAGGCGTTCGGCAATCGCCTTTAAAAATTTTATATTAAGTAGGTATGAATTATTATTAATTATACAGTTATCCAGATATTCCCGGACATTTTCATCATGCGTCCGGACACCGGGCAAACCTTTAAAAAACCGGACAGTCCGGGTGAAAACCGGACAGGTGGCAACCCTAACAGCAATATTTTATTTATTTGAAAAAAAAAAACATTGTGACTTTATATTTATTATTGGTTGAGGTTTTATTTGGGATTGGATCGAAATAAAACAACAGAAGTCTGTTATTTCAGATTGTCGACGTTTCGCAATATATTATTGCATCTTCAGGACACTACAAAATGGTAAGACAATGTTATTGTGCAGAGTCCTAACAACTCCAGTTATGTTTATAGTATTGGGTACTTACATTTGAGATTGACTTTCTATGTCATAACATGAACAATATACGAAGTTGTTAGGTAGGTACAGATTCATAAGAGACGTTACATTCACATACATGGTACAGTTTAAAACTTATCAAAAAATATCACAAAAACGTTATAAAAATAATCACACATTAAAACTTAAAAAGTAAATGATTTTAAAATAAAATATATAAGACAGACACAGCCAGCTGTTACTATTACAATAATAAATTAAATAGTGTTATCGTTCGTGGGAGCAAACAAAGAAAAACCAAGTAGGGAATGGCATCCGAATCAAAAAACACTAATATGATAGCTTTTTTGTGATGATTATTTTGTTGTTGATAAAATGTTAAAATAGGCGTTACTTAAATTTTGTATATCTGTTCTTTTATTGACGCAATTTTTATCTTTTTGTATTTCGATCATCTCAGCAATTAGTCTTTTTCTGTAGTTAAATTGTGTTTGTAATATTGTGGTGTTGTCAAAGTCGAAGTTATGTCCTGTCTCTAGTTTATGTTCTACTAATGCTGTTGGGTTAGTCTTCAAGAGAAAGTTTTTTTGGTCATTTTGGTGTTCCTTCAGTCTTTGTTTCAAATATCTACCAGTCTGTCCGATATAGTTTTTATTACATTGAGAGCAAGGAATATTGTACACCAAATTTGATTTTAATTCCTTTTTAGTCTTTGATTTGGTTTTCGAGAAAAAATGCCTTTTTATGGTATTTTGGCACTTAAAGGTGATTTCGACTTTTTCTTCTTTCTTAGATTTATGGCCCTTGAATGTTCTTTTTATTCGTTCGGAAAGCTTTCCAATATAGGGGATTTTGCAAAAAAGTTTCTGATCACTTTGTTTTGTTATTTTTTTTGAATTTGTTTTTTTAAGAATTTTTCTTATTAGAGATAATGAATAATTATTATTCAATAACATCCTTTCTATGTACTTCAGGTTCTTACTATGAAATTTTCCAGAAGACAGTGCGAGAGCTCTAGTTTTCAAATTATTAATAATATTAATTTTTTGTTGAAGAGGGTGTTCAGACCAATAATTTAAAAATCTTTCGGAAAAACTAGGTTTGTGAAACCAATCAGTCTCTATGTTCTCTCCATATCTTAATATTAGTACATCTAGGAAAGCTATACTTTGTTCGTTTTCTTTCTCGATGGTAAATTGAATTCTGGGATGATAACTATTAAAAATATTAAGTATGGTTGCTTCTTGATGTTCAGGGATCGATGTTAGGATATCATCAACATAACGTTTATAGAACGGAAGTTGAAATGGGAGTTTTTTTATGCAACATTCCTGTAAATCTTGCATCACCAAATCAGAACAAATTGGCGATAAACAGTTTCCCATCCCCAGGCCATAAATTTGTTTGAAAAATTCATCCTGATACTGGAAATAACTGTTGTCAAAAACGAAAATCAACAGATCTATGAACGTTCGTAGAGGAATTTTGACTTTGTTTTCTATGAGATGCCATTTTTTACTAACAATGTTAATTACTACATCTGTAGGGATGTTTGTAAATAATGAAATTACATCCAGAGATATAACCTGGTAGTTTATTGGTAACTTGATACTCTTAATGTTTTCTACAAAATCAAAGGAATTCCTGACATAAGTTTCGTCCTTAACAAATAAATCATTCAAAATATTCGCCAGAAAGGCAGTGAGATTATATAGTGGTGATCCCACGAACGATACTATTGGTCTTAAAGGGTTATTATTCTTGTGTATCTTTGGTTGAAAATAAATTTTAGGGGCAGTGGCAGCATTTGTTTTCAATTTCTTACCCCGTTCGTTTTCAATAAACCCCTCTTTAATGAGAGAGTCAATCATTTTATTATTTTTATTTTGAATTGTGATGGTCGGGTCTTTTTTAAGCATTTTATATGTCACTTGATCACTAAGCATATTTTTAGATCTTTAATAGGGTATTCCTTATTTTTATATGGAAAATTGAACTTATCACCTAAACTTAGTTTAGATCTTATTGTTGATGTTGAATGCATTTTAGAAAAGTTTGATGATGACATCAAGATACAAATCAGAAATCAATGTATCAATATAGTTACTAACTTTGTTCGTTCAAATAAACCCCAGGAGTATGAGGAGAAACAGTTTAATCAGATGTCAAAACGAACTTCAATTTTTTTGAGGGCCAATGAAGATGAAATAGTGGTTCTTAAAGCAGATAAAGGCAACACCACTGTCATTATGAATAAATCTGAGTATTTAGAGAAATCTAAAAATATGCTTAGTGATCAAGTGACATATAAAATGCTTAAAAAAGACCCGACCATCACAATTCAAAATAAAAATAATAAAATGATTGACTCTCTCATTAAAGAGGGGTTTATTGAAAACGAACGGGGTAAGAAATTGAAAACAAATGCTGCCACTGCCCCTAAAATTTATTTTCAACCAAAGATACACAAGAATAATAACCCTTTAAGACCAATAGTATCGTTCGTGGGATCACCACTATATAATCTCACTGCCTTTCTGGCGAATATTTTGAATGATTTATTTGTTAAGGACGAAACTTATGTCAGGAATTCCTTTGATTTTGTAGAAAACATTAAGAGTATCAAGTTACCAATAAACTACCAGGTTATATCTCTGGATGTAATTTCATTATTTACAAACATCCCTACAGATGTAGTAATTAACATTGTTAGTAAAAAATGGCATCTCATAGAAAACAAAGTCAAAATTCCTCTACGAACGTTCATAGATCTGTTGATTTTCGTTTTTGACAACAGTTATTTCCAGTATCAGGATGAATTTTTCAAACAAATTTATGGCATGGGGATGGGAAACTGTTTATCGCCAATTTGTTCTGATTTGGTGATGCAAGATTTACAGGAATGTTACATAAAAAAACTCCCATTTCAACTTCCGTTCTATAAACGTTATGTTGATGATATCCTAACATCGATCCCTGAACATCAAGAAGCAACCATACTTAATATTTTTAATAGTTATCATCCCAGAATTCAATTTACCATCGAGAAAGAAAACGAACAATGTATAGCTTTCCTAGATGTACTAATATTAAGATATGGAGAGAACATAGAGACTGATTGGTTTCACAAACCTAGTTTTTCCGAAAGATTTTTAAATTATTGGTCTGAACACCCTCTTCAACTAAAAATTAATATTATTAATAATTTGAAAACTAGAGCTCTCGCACTGTCTTCTGGAAAATTTCATAGTAAGAACCTGAAGTACATAGAAAGGATGTTATTGAATAATAATTATTCATTATCTCTAATAAGAAAAATTCTTAAAAAAACAAATTCAAAAAAAATAACAAAACAAAGTGATCAGAAACTTTTTTGCAAAATCCCCTATATTGGAAAGCTTTCCGAACGAATAAAAAGAACATTCAAGGGCCATAAATCTAAGAAAGAAGAAAAAGTCGAAATCACCTTTAAGTGCCAAAATACCATAAAAAGGCATTTTTTCTCGAAAACCAAATCAAAGACTAAAAAGGAATTAAAATCAAATTTGGTGTACAATATTCCTTGCTCTCAATGTAATAAAAACTATATCGGACAGACTGGTAGATATTTGAAACAAAGACTGAAGGAACACCAAAATGACCAAAAAAACTTTCTCTTGAAGACTAACCCAACAGCATTAGTAGAACATAAACTAGAGACAGGACATAACTTCGACTTTGACAACACCACAATATTACAAACACAATTTAACTACAGAAAAAGACTAATTGCTGAGATGATCGAAATACAAAAAGATAAAAATTGCGTCAATAAAAGAACAGATATACAAAATTTAAGTAACGCCTATTTTAAC